TGCGCTCATAGAACACATGAATTAAGCCGGGGGTGGATCTGGCGGAAACCCCTCTGACGCTCAATAGATGCGTACTCTAGGCGTATTATACGGTAGCAAAGAGAAAGTTGTGGAGAGGGCAGACTCTCCAGTCAGGCACACCGTGAGGGTGAGTACAGCAAACCGGGAGGGGATATATATATATATATATATATACTTCCAGGGAGTGTATGTAGAAAGAGCTGTCGGTGGATATGGTGGAGACCACTCCATCTATGGCGTCTATGTATACACATAGTAGCTGTCCATATATAGCTTTTTATATATATATATATATATATATATATATATATATATATATATATATATATATATATATATATATATATATATATATATATATATATTAGTTTCATTTTCCAAAACTTTCCACCACAGAGACATATCATTATTATTATTTATTTTTATTTATCTTTTTTTATTTTTATTTTTTTTGTAGGGTCGAAATAACTTGAAAGAAAATAATATAAAGCCCAATTGACCTACAACATGGACTTCAATTTCTAATATCTATTATGGGCTAGGCCTTGTGATAGCAAATAACTGGGCTTCTGTATAATTTCCTAATCCTAGTAAAACACAAACCCCAGTCGAGTAAATCAACGGCCGAGATTCACTCCAGCTGTCCGGATTCATACAACAAGAGAAGTATATAAGCAGCACCATATATATATATATATATATATATTCATAAAACGGAAAACAAAAACTAATTATTTTAGTTATTTTACTGAGATAGGAGAAGTGTTGGAAGACGACACCCATTAATAAATCACAGGTAATTTATTTTTTTATTATTTCTGATAATTATTTGTTTTAAATTTATGTGTGATATTATTCCCTTCAAAAAGTTAAAATTATCCAATTGAAAACCCTTGTTCGTTCAATCTCCGCCGCCTCTGCTCCATTTTACCCCGCCGCCTTCCGCCGTGCGATTTTGGATCTGGCTATCAATTTGTGAACGAACTCAAAAGTGATTCTTCCATAAATCTCGATATAAATTATTTCGATACGAGGGTTTAATTGGCTCTGGTGAAATTTTCTCACGAATTCGTGGTTTCTGGTGCAGATTTGATTTTCGGATTATCAAAAATTCGATTTTCGTGCTTTGGCAGTCTTATATTAGCTGGTGAGTTGTTTTTTTTTTTTTTTTCTTATCTCAATGCTCATTCTTCACGTTTGCTGAATTCGAATAAATGAACTGTTTGTTCTTAAATTTCATTATTGATTGGTGTTTTGAATTAGTTGGGTTCAAATTGATTGAGTTTTTTTGCCAGATTTGAATTTTTTTTGTCTGAGATATTAAACCCTAGTTAATCATTCTCGACGTTTGTTGAATTTGAATTGATGAATTGTTCTTTCTTAAATCTCACAACTGATTGGTGGTTCGGTTTTGTTTTAATCAGGTTCTAAGAGATTGAATTTCTTTTATTAGTCCCGATTCAATTTTTTAAAATCTGATGTATATGAAAGTTTATGATTTTATATTGATTGGTTTCGTTGTATTCATTGATTAGTTAATCTCGATGGGAAAGAAGAAATCCGATGAAGCCATAAAAGCCAAGCCAAAGGAAAAGCTCTCAGTATCTGCAATGCTTGCCAGCATGGACACAAAACCCGAAAAACCGAAAAAACCACCGGTCTCCACTTCGAGCAAACCCAAGTCAAAATCCGCTCCGAAACCCCCTTCTTACATCGACGGTGTAGATCTTCCCTCATCTGATGAGGAGGAAGAAGAGATAGACTCCGAAGAAGAGAAAAAGCAAATCGAGCTCCAAAAACGCCGGAATTCCGCAAAATCCCTCGACATAAGCATAACCGAAAAGGAGTTAAAGAAACGGGAAAAGAAAGACGTCCTCGCCAGCCAAGCTGCTGAGGTGGCGAAACACGAAGCCCTCAGAGACGACCGCGACGCGTTCACTGTCGTGATTGGTAGTAAAGCTGCTGTGCTCGATGGAGAAGCAGATGCAGACGCTAATGTGAAAGATATAACGGTGGATAATTTCTCCGTTTCGGCCCGTGGAAAAGAGCTCTTGAAAAATGCAACGGTCAAGATTTCTCACGGGAAGAGGTACGGGCTTGTGGGCCCCAACGGAATGGGAAAGTCAACCCTGTTGAAACTCCTCGCTTGGAGAAAGATTCCCGTACCTAAAAATATCGACGTACTTTTAGTCGAGCAAGAAGTAGTTGGTGATGATAGAACAGCTCTAGAAGCGGTTGTTTCTGCCAATGAAGAACTCATCAGTCTCAGACAAGAAGTTGCTTCCTTGCAAGAAGCATCATCGAACGTGCAAGAAGATGACGAGGAAGAAAACGATGTTGGAGAGAAATTATCCGAACTATACGATAAATTGCAATTAATGGGTTCGGACGCTGCCGAAGCTCAAGCTTCAAAGATTCTTGCTGGTTTGGGTTTCACTAAAGATATGCAGGCTCGTCAAACGAGGTCTTTTAGTGGAGGTTGGAGGATGAGGATTTCTTTAGCCAGAGCACTCTTTGTGCAGCCCACTCTTTTACTATTGGACGAGCCGACAAACCACCTCGATTTGCGGGCGGTTCTGTGGTTGGAAGAATATTTGTGTCGGTGGAAGAAAACTCTTGTTGTAGTTTCGCACGATCGTGATTTTCTAAATACAGTGTGCAATGAAATCATCCACCTCCACGATTTAAAGCTCCATCTCTACCACACGAATTTTGACGGCTTTGAAACTGCCTACGAGCAGCGCCGTAAAGAAATGAATAAAAAATTCGAAACCTACGACAAGCAGTTGAAAGCTGCGAAAAGATCTGGAAGCCGTACACAACAAGAAAAGGTAAAAGATCGTGCTAAATTCACCGCAGCAAAGGACGTTTCAAAGGGTAAAGGCAAAGGCAAAGCAGTCGACGAAGACGACCCTGTACCGGAAGCACCCAAGAAATGGAGAGACTACACGGTGGAGTTCCATTTCCCAGAGCCAACCGAGCTAACTCCACCGCTCATGCAGCTGATCGAAGTCAGCTTCAGCTACCCTAACCGAGAGGATTTCAGGCTATCTGACGTGGACGTCGGCATCGATATGGGGACCCGCGTGGCGATAGTGGGGCCCAACGGTGCCGGAAAATCAACACTGCTGAACCTCCTCGCCGGAGATTTAGTTCCGATGGAGGGCGAAGTGAGAAGAAGCCAGAAATTGAGAATCGGTAGATATTCGCAGCACTTTGTGGATCTACTTACAATGGATGAAACCCCGGTTCAGTATTTACTCCGTTTGCATCCAGATCAAGAAGGGCTGAGCAAGCAAGAGGCGGTTAGGGCAAAGCTGGGTAAATTCGGGCTGCCTAGTCATAACCATTTGACCCCGATTGTGAAACTGTCGGGTGGGCAAAAGGCAAGGGTGGTTTTCACCTCGATTTCGATGTCGAAGCCGCACATATTGCTTTTGGATGAGCCGACGAATCATTTGGACATGCAGAGTATTGATGCTTTGGCGGATGCGCTGGACGAGTTCACTGGTGGGGTTGTTTTGGTGAGTCATGACTCGAGGCTGATTTCGCGTGTGTGCGATAATGAAGAGATTAGTGAGATTTGGGTTGTGGAGAATGGCACCGTCGAGGCTTTTCCGGGTTCGTTTGAGGATTATAAGGAGGAGCTTGTCAAGGAGATTAGGGCTGAGGTGGACGATTAATTCTTTACTTTCTGAGATTAATAATATGTTTTTCTTGTGGTTCTTTTTTTTGTGTTACATTTGTGTAATGGATACTTGACTTTGCTGCAATTGTGATTGGAGTGTAATGATTTTGAGGATACAGTTGAGATACTATGATCACTTTTTTCTTGTAACTTTACCAATTCTTTTTTTATAAACTTGAATCCTGGTTTTTTTTTTTTCGGTTACCAGTCGTGCGCCAAAATTGGAACAGCATTTTTGAATTCGGTCGATTCTGAAATGTGATTTTTTCCGATTTTGGATCATTCTGTATCATTTTATATTCGATTTTCCTTTTGAATTTCTTTGAAACGGAATTGCAATAGTACATATTGTTTCGATTTTAGTTTTCGAAACATTCCATTTATTATTCTCTTATTTTTTTAAATGACACTTTAATAACAATATTATTATCATATGTATATTCTATATTATTGGTGAGTAGGAAAACCAAAATTCTGAGATTGGAATAACTGTTTCATTCCCATTTTCGAAATTTCGATTTTTGATTTTTCTGAAAATTTCAGGAACAAAATCGGAAGCTAGAGATTTACTCATTTATATTTCTCGTCGCACGATTACATTGAATTTTCGACGATTTTTATCAAGGGCACTTAGATTTACCCTTGGAGTTAACCATATCTCTACAGCAAGGGCACTCAGATTTGTTGCCAGAAGTGCCTGAAGGAACACAGTTGCATTTGCTGCAGCATACGCAGCAGTAACTAAAGCAACGCTTGAAAATCCCGGCTTTTTCGCACCTTTTGTTGCACATTGCATTACAATTAGAACCTACAACAATTGATCAAAAACAATATATATTAGAAACAAGAACTATATATATATATATATAGATGTATGTAGTCATGTAGATATAGATATAGATATAGTTTTTACTTGGGGTTACAGCGGGGGCTGCTGCTTCTGCTTCGGCAGCATCGACTAGAAAAAACGACGGGGCAATCATAAGAAGAAGCGAAACGAGAAGCAGAGTGGAGAAGAGAGACTTCATTTTAATTAAAGATTTATAAATATTGGATTCTTGATTTGATTATGGAGAAGAATTGAAAGAGTAGGACAGTATTTATAGTGGCATAATTGTGAATTAATTATGTAAGAATTTTAAGAATATACAACCTGTCTTTGTGTATTGAAATTTGAAATAGAGGAACTTTCCAAGTGTACCAAGCAAGGTTGTAAAAAGCGGTAATCGGGTCCGAGTCGGTCAGGCACCGATTTACGATTAATCGCTGCGGCGGTGATTAATCGGTGATAAATCGGAAATAAATTGGTTTTTAAAATTTAATATAATATATCTCTAGATATTATTTATAAATACTCAAAACATATATAAAAAGATATTTAAACATAGTTATATCTCCATCATATATATATTCTTAATAACATAATAGAAGTTTAATAATTATAAGATCATAATACATAAATATCCTTATAAAATATAAATAAAAAAACATTTTTTTTGAATTTACATTTATTCTTGAACATTTCTGGCATACATTATTAGTTCTCTAACAATAACAATTAACATAAACAAAATAAGGCATAAACTCATATTTTCTTTTATTAAAATCTCAACTTTTATTTTGAATTATAAAAAATAAAAAAGAAAAAAAAACCAATGACCGATTTTTGGCCGATTTTTGCCACCGAGTATGACCCGCCTTAAAGGTTTGACCGCCTCAAACCGCCTCGGACCGCCTAAAACCGCCTCACAGGCAAAAACCAATTTTTCAAACCTTTACACTAAAATCGTACAGGTTTTGGACCGCCTCCGCCTCGGAGACCGATTAATCGGCCGCCTCGGTCGATTTTTAGAACACTGGTACCAAGGCTGGCTGGATGAATACACATTAGTTTATTGTAATATCGAATTGTTAAGAAGATCCTCGTACTTTTAATATTAGCAATTCACCACCTAAAGAATTTTTTTTTTTAACACAAAATATGGTGAGTATTTAAGGGTAGCTTGCCAAAAAAATAAAATAACAAAATTGATTTATATGGGGGTTTTTTGTTAATAAATATAACCCATTAGCAATTAGAGTAAACTAGTAACCGAACCCGTGCGTTGCACGGGGTTATATATTTCAATGAAATGACACTACAACAGCACAATTATTAAATCGGAGCAATAAACCACAAATTGTCACAAAAATGATATACATTTGCTGCTTTACACTTAAAAATATTCATATAAAAAACCCATAATCTCAAACATAGCTCCAATACAAAATAAATAAATATATATATATATATATATCTTATATATAAAATATATAAAATCTGGTCTTGATCTGAATTTATATTACGGAAAGTAATAACAAAATAAGCATTATAAATGAATTTGCAACAAAACCAATAATAACAACATGAAATAACATGAAAAAGCAAAGAACTGGGATATAGCAACCACTTACAAAAATAACTAATAAAAACGAAGTGGAAACAAAACTAACTAAGTACGAAAGTTTCAAAATTTAAAAAAAAAAACGGGAGTTTAAAAAACACATCATAATATATAATGAAATTGTAGTGGTTGCACCAATAAAACAATAAAACCATAAAACCATTACATTGAATTCTTCTCTAGTTTGATTCTCTTACAGCAGTAGTTGGCGATTGGGTATTTGCATCACCTTAAGAGCTAGAAGTCGTAGGTTCATCGACAAATCTTTTATCACATGACTTACTACCTGGAATTGCATCATCGTCAATTGGGTGGAAATCCTACAACGCAAAACATGACTTATAATATATACCACCGAGGGAAAAAAATTAACAAAAGTTTATATGTATATTTATATAACAAATTTTAGATAGAGTAATACACTTAAATTTTCATCTTCCTGCTGAATAAAATTTTCAATAACTTGACCATCTTCTTCGTCGAGTGCCTGCAACAAAAATAAATTAATAATATAATTGTAGATTCTAAAAAATTGGGATGTATATTTTATCTTATCCACCTTCATTCCACTCTTAAATTTTTGTCTTTTATTCATTGTTTGTCATCGTCCTGACAGTGTAAAGCGACCAATTCTTCTTCACATTCATTTCACTGATTTGTATTTTAAATAAAAATTCTTTATTAATCAACATCTGAAACTCAGCGTGTTGCTCAGTTGTTCCTACAAAATGATCATGATCCGATAATAACTTAATGATCAAAATATAAATAATTTGAAACAATGATGGTAAATATTTAATGTATGTGAGAAAATTATCACCTTTTTCATATCTCCAACTACCTCGCATGCACTTTTGCCGATAAATTGTTTGACCATTCCATCAAATAGCACTAAAGAAGTAGATAATGTGCTATCAACAATGGTAATTACTTCAATCCTATATCTGAATACAAACACGGAAGATTTTCCTTCAATTTTATTAATATACAAATATACATGGATTAATAATAAAAATATTAATTTTTAACCTAAATATATTATAATTTACCGAGGTATAGTAGGCACATTCCTATCACACATCTCACATAAATATTTGGATCCGTTTGGTATGACTTTCTTCATATTATTTTTGCACGAAATATACCACTATTTCTTTTCCAAATCAATTTCTAAGATTGTGGAAAGCAAAACCACGGTACAATCCTAAAATAAGAATATAAATTAATTTTGTATCCATATGTTATATGAATCGTTGAACAAATATAATGTTAGCATATATAATACAACTTACATCCAATGTATCTACCAGCTCGGCAATACTCATTTTCTCAACGGAAAGAAACTCGTCATTCACAGATACTGAGTGTTCACTTGAAATTTGAGATAATGTTTCAGTGAGAGATTCATCTCCTTGCAAAAGTCTATATGTATGTTGAAAATGAAAACAATAATAATTATGATATTAGACGAAATCACATATTAAATATAATTGGGGAAAAAGAAAGGACAAAAAGACTACATGTCCCTATAATTAAGAGCCTCTTTCAAATTTGGGTTTGTGAGCAGATTTGATCCGTGAGAGTGAGAAGAATTATTCTTTTTTACTTGTGATATAATTAAATATATATTATATTGACATGTTTATTATGAAACTAAGTAGGACGTAAAGACGAAACCTACTTGGACCAAATAACTATATCTACCTTTAAAACTCTTTATTTTGCAAAGTTGCAATACAATGATAACCAAACTTTGTGGGTCGTGATTGACGAAGAAACCATCCAATTTATCAGCATATGAGTTCCACAAAGCACAATTAATTTTGTTGCCACTGCCCACGTAAAAACAAAGAAAAATAAAATTCAACATATAATTAAAAGACGAATGATGAAGTTGGTAAGAAAATTTGCTTTTAGAAAAAACTATTGCAATTATAATGAATTATACAATCATTCTTACTTCAAGTCTTGAAGAACTACATCAAGTAATTTATTGGTCATTTTGTTGATGCATGGCTATCTCCTTTGTGTGATTTGTCTCGACCACATGCCCAATTACATCTAAAAAACAGTACATTAATTGATTTCACTGTAACCGAGTGAAAATAAGTAAGAGACAGGAAATTACAATTTTACCTATTAACCAATCATCTTTGTTGTTGTTCTGAATTTTTTTAAACTCCATAAAGTTAAAGCTAACGTTAGGAATTTCTTCTGCACCGAATGATGTGATGGTGGTTGATCCAATTCTTATAATTTTGTACCGATGGCCAGTGATTCGAGCGTTCCCGCTGTTTGAACTAACGATGAAGTTACAAAACATGTATGTTTTTCCTTCATTTAGTATAGCTTTGAACGTATTCATATGTTGCTTTTTTTATGCTGGCATGTAACTTGCCGCCCTACCATAAGTATATATAAATTATCAACAATATACAAATATTTTATAGACGTAATTAAAATAAATAAATAAATAAACGTTTTGCATATCACCTTGGAATCCATGAGCAGCATATCAAGACTAACAATTACATCTTTGTTGGCATAACAAACCACAACAATATTACTCTAGTACAATAACTTTCCAAGCCATTGTAGTGGGAATAAAGTCAACAATATTTGTGATATTGGGAGCCATTATAGAAATCCTACAAAAATTTCAGGATATATAGATTAAAAAGTGAATGAGGATGTGAGAATGAAATATGTATGCATATATATAGAAAAAACCAATATTTCGGTTGTTTTACACATGGTAAC